AGCATTATGTGTCTTAAACAAATAAAAGCTTGGGTAATGACTTCTTTGGTTAATCTAAGATATTTAAATTATAAAAACTTCTAAAACTACATGAAATGTTTAAAACAACAAGCGGATTATTGTTTATAGTTAATACCATAATTTGTTAAAATGATACCCAAGTAAGTCCCAACTTTCAGTGAAACAAGATTGAACACTTACACCACATTAATTATGTTTATCACCAGTATATGTAAATGTTACACATTTTTGTTTAGGGGCCAGCTGAAGCCCACCTCAGGTGCGGTATTTTCTCTCTGTTGAAGACCCATTGCATGGTGGCCTTGGGCTGTTTTCTGCTCTTTGGTCGGGTTGTTCTCTATTTTACAAATTCCCTGTTTCCATTCTCAATTTGACTTGTCTCTCTATGAGCTCTAACTGTCGGGGAAACATTGAACACCAACACCGCATAATTAGGTTTATCACCAGCATGTGTCCTCATGTCTCTCTGTGCGTTCTAGCTGTCAGTAAAACATTGAACACTTACACCACATCAATAAGGTTTATCACCAGTATGTGTCCACATAACTCACTGTGAGTTCTAGCTGTCAGGGAAACATTGAACACTAACACCACATTATTTATGTTTTTCACAAGTCTGTATGCACATATCTCTGTAAGTTCTAGCTGTCAGTAAAACATTGAACACTAATACTACATTAATTAGGTTTATCACGAGTATGTGTTCACATATCTCTCTGTAAGTTCTGGTTGTCAGTGAAACATTTAACATTTACACCACATTAATTTGGTTTATCACAAGTATGTGTTCACTTATATCTCTGTAAGTTCAGACTGTCTATACGTTCCGACTATCCTCATATCTGTGTCAGTTCTGACTGCTATTTACCCATTGAACAGTTACATATATGTGTTTTATTTTTATATGTGTTCACATGTATCTGTAAGTTCCCCTCCTGAACATGTATGAAATATTTGCCACTGGGCGTTAAGCAACTAGCAATCAATCAATATTTATAAGTCCTGACTGTCATTGACTCATTGACGCTAAGTTCTGACTGTCATAGAATAATTGATTATATGTGTTCATTTGTCCATGTACGTTCTGACTGTTTTCATGTCTGTACATTCACACTGTTCACATGTCTCTGTAAGACTTAGATCTGACTGTCACTGATCTATTGAACACGTACACAACATTTATATGGATTCACATGTCTGTTAGTCCTGTCTGTCACTGATCTATAGAACAAGTACACATTTATATGGATTCACATGTCTGTTAATCCTGTCTGTCACTGATCTATTGAACACGTACACAACATTTATATGTGTTCACATTTCTGTTAGTCCTGTCTGTCACTGATCTATTGAAACACTAACAACACTTTCATATGTGTGTCACGTATCTGTTAGTCATGTCTGCCATTGATCTAGTGAACACTAACAACACTTTTATATATGTGTCACATGTCTGTTTGTCCTGTTTGTCAATGATCTATTGAGACACTAACAACACTTTCATATGCGTCTCGCGTGTCTGTTAGTCCTGTCTGTCATTGATCTAGTGAACACTAACAACACTTTTATATGTGTGTCACATGTCTGTTTGTCCTGTCTGTCACTGATCTATTGAGACACTAACAATACTTTTATATGTGTGTCACATGTCTGTTAGTCTTGTCTGTCATTGATCTATTGAGACACTAACAACACTTTTATATGTGCGTCACGTGTCTGTTAGTCCCGTCTGTCATTGATCTAGTGAACACTAACAACACTTTTATATGTGTGTCACGTGTCTGTTAGTCCCGTCTGTCATTGATCTATTGAGACACTAACAACACTTTTATATGTGTGTCACGTGTCTGTTAGTCCTGTCTGTCATTGATTTAGTGAACACTTACAACACTTTTATATGTGTCACGTGTGTTAGTCCTGTCTGTCATTGACCTATTGAACACTAACAGTAGTTTTATATGCGTGTCACGTGTCTCTTAGTCCTGTCTGTCATTGACCTATTTAACACGTACAACACTTTTATATGTGTGTCACATGTCTGTTAGTCCTGTCTGTCATTGATCTAGTGAACACTAACAATCAAATTTATGTGTGTGTCACATGTCTGTTAGTCCTGTCTGTCATTGACCTAGTGAACACTAACAACACTTTTATATGTGTGTCATTGACCTAGTGAACACTAACAACACTTTTATATGTGTGTCATTGACCTAGTGAACACTAACAACACTTTTATATGTGTGTCATTGACCTAGTGAACACCAACAACACTTTTATATGTGTGTCACATGTCTGTTAGTCCTGTCGGTCATTGACCTATTGAACACTAACAGCACTTTTATATGTGTGTCACGTGTCTGTTAGTCCTGTCTGTCATTGATCTATTGAAACACTAACAACACTTTTATATGTGTGTCACGTGTCTGTTAGTCCTGTCTGTCATTGACCTATTGAACACGTACAACACTTTTATATGTGTGTCACGTGTCTGTTAGTACTGTCTGTCATTGACCTAGTGAACAAGTACAACACTTTTATATGCGTGTCACGTGCCTCTTAGTCCTGTCTGTCATTGACCTATTGAACACGTACAACACTTTTATATGTGTGTCACGTGTCTGCTAGTCCTGTCTGTCATTGACCTATTGAACACGCACAACACTTTTATATGTGTGTCACGTGTCTGTTAGTACTGTCTGTCATTGACCTATTGAACAGTAACAAAACTTTTATATGCGTGTCACGTGTCTGTTAGTACTGTCTGTCATTGGCCTATTGAACACGTACAACACTTTTATATGTGTGTCACGTGTCTGTTAATCCTGTCCGTCATTGACCTATTGAACACTAACAACACTTTTATATGTGTGTCACATGTCTCTGTAATTTGAATTATGACTGGCATCGACCCATTTGATGAGATTTTGACAAGAGGCATACTAATTTTTCCAAAACTATACATAATCTGCAACTAATCAAACTAAATTTATGTACTTTATATTTAACATTTGTAAAATAAATTGTCAACAGGATATATTCATGCGTGGCAATTTTATTCACCTTTTCCTCTAAACACCACAATTAGTATGTTTAATAGCCGTTTCATCGCGGTTCAAGGCTAGGTGAGGATTGAACGATCAGTTCTATATGCGTCTGTATAAAATCGGGCCTTTGTTTGCATTTGTTTGCATTGTTTTACATTTTGACATGTCGGGGACTTTTATACCGTACGGTACGGTATGGGTACTGGTATGTGTTTTGATCATTGTTGAGACCTATAGTTGCTAAACCTGCCTTAATTTGGACCTACCAAATCTTTATATATGTGATTTCATGTCTCTAAATTCTGACTGTTCTCCTGTCTCTGTAAGTTCTGATTGTACTAGTGTCTCTGTAAGTTCTGGCTGTTTTCATGTCTTTGTAAGTTTTGACGGTGAGTGAACAATTTACCATTTTTATCACATTCATACAGTTAAAACACTGCGTGTGCTCTCTCATGACTACAACCTTATTTCCTTATCGCACACCCATTATATAGCCTAAGGGTTTAATTCTTTCATATTAGTTAATATATAGTTTAATGTTGGGGTGCATTTGACTCCAGTCATAATTGACCAGACGCATACAATGTATCATGCATATGGCGTGCGCTTGACTCAAATCTTAATCGACTAGATCTGCAAAGTTTTTCTGCCGATGGTCGTTAGTTCTCTTCTGGCACTCCGGCTTCCTCTACCAATAAAAACTGACTGCCACGAGTTGTCTAATAATGATGAAAATAAAATGTAGCGATAAATACCAAAAGTCAACCAATCAATTAATGTTTTAGCATACTTTAATACGAGGATGAACTCTCCTTTCATTCTGCACTTAAGTCTAAACCACCAACATATTAAGTGCAAGGTTTATATGTGTTTTGTATTTGAGTGTAAATTATGTGTCTAGAACTTCATTTTTAACCAAATTGCCGGGTTGAAAATTGCTCTCACAATTGCAATGGGACCACTTTTGTATTAGAGTTATCTTCCTTTGTGCATAATTGAAGTTGACGTTGAACTTATTTAAAGAATAAATCCATGCACAACTTATACAACTTCTAATTAGAAAAAGTTTCCTTGACAACTACGGTTAAACACATCCACATCATTTGAAACAGTTATCTAAATGTATTATTAATTTAAACATATTTTATTTCCTTCAATATTTCCTTCAATATGCATAAGGGATGAGACACAAGTTAATCAAACTTTGTTAACATTTTATACATTGTGACTTGGATGGAGAGTTGTCTCATTAGCACTCATACCACATCTTCTTAATTATATTATAAAGTTAAACCTCTATACTGTGCGTCAGATCTTATATGTATAAGCGAGTTAAGATGGATCTGAATTTTAATCAGATTACCAAACTTATAAAGTCTTCTCCCATATGTATTATTATTTAATTTATTAATCAACTGCATGACACAGCTTGGGCTGGATATGATCCTTAATCAAAGAAATAACATTCATTAGGTAAACAATATAAACATATACAAATTTAATGTCACTCTTATGTCTATGTAAACTACCAGCTTGACTTGAACCCTCGTGTTTACTCTTTACCATGTACATAAAAGAGGGAGAAAGATACCAGAGGGACAGTCAAACTCATAGATCGAAAATAAACTGACAACGCCATGGCTAAAAAATAAAGACAAACAGACAAATAATAGTACACAAGACACAACATAGAAAACTAAAGACTAAGCAACACGAACCCCACCAAAAACTGGGGGTGATCTCAGGTGCTCTGGAAGGGTAAACAGATCCTGCTCCACATGTGGCACCCGTCGTGTTGCTCATGTTATTACAAATCTGGTAAATATTCTAATTCGGTAGGTCACATTCGTGGTGAAAAAGGAAGTGGATTGTAATTACGACATAAGGAACATATCCGATATCATCTGTGAAACGGTTATTCCATGACGGTCAACCAACTCGTAAAATTTACGAAGGGATGATTTCAACTTCACCATTTGGAACTCTTGGTTTAATAGCTTCCTTGTGAGCAGCAACCCTCTGTCAAGGAAATTATGATAGGAAATACTTGTTACTTGTTAAGGGAATATTGTATCAATTGGGAGATATATACTCCGTATGCAGGCGCTGCTGGAATGTTGCTACATAGAAATGGAAACTTCACAATTGGGAGCTGAAATCATCTCTTTTGTCGTAAAGTTTTGTTTTCAACCGACCCTCATTGTCAATTTCTAGATGTAAGTCAAGATATGAGGCAGACTTAACTGTATCTGTTGTATCCTTTATCTCTAGTTCGATGGGATAGATGCATTCAACATAGTCACCAAATTTTGAATTATTAACTAAGTGAGAGAACATCATCTATATAGCGGAAAGTAAAGTTAAAGGATATTGCTAACTTCTTATCTTTCTTCCTGTATGAAGTCAGCCTCATAATAATAAAGAAACAAGTCGCAAGAAGAGGGGCACAATTGGTTCCCATTTGAATGCCGACAGTCTATTGAAAAACACGTCCTCCAAACTTAATAAATATGTTGTCATTCAAGAAATCAAGCATCTTGATAATGTCAGTTTCAGAGAACTTTTTGTTGGAATCAGAGTGATTCTTTACAAAGTAGGATTTATCCCTCCCCAAGACAAGATACTTGTATCTATGTTCGCCATTCTTTTTTATGAAACAAAGCAATACCAACTCTTTCAATTTATCTTATAGTTTGGAATGGGGAATACTTGTGTAAAGTGTAGAAAAGTCAAGTGTTTTAATACTATTTCAAGATGAGAGAATCTTAGATTGTATGTACTCTAAAAGATCTTTTGGAATTTTTTAGTATCCACATCTGATTCACGCCACCTATAGAATAGGCAGTTTCACAATAACTTTGAAGCCCGGCTTTGATTGCTGATAAAATAGATGTTAATAATTTAGAAAGAGGTCTCGTGGAGCACTGTACCGTTGTTTGTAAGGACACTTATGTAGTTTAGGTATCCAATACAGTGATGGAAGATCCAGTTCTTCATCTTTAGTTGAAATTTCAAACAAACATAGAACAGACCTATGATTATCCAGGATTTCCTCTTTGGTAAGTGTCGTGAGGGTATATGTTGAGTTTCCAAGTGAATTGTCAATACCTAATTCATTTATCAAGCAGTTTATGTAATGACATTTACACACAAAACGATGTTGTTTGGGGCTTTATCTGCGGGGACAACAACATATTTGTCATGGAGGAAGGACAAGTGTTTTGCAACATTTGGGTCTTTAAAGATTGACGTAGCATGGGTATTGATAGACCCATTTAGTTTCTTAATTCTGATTTGTATTAACAACCTCACAGCCTTAATCCATTCGGAAAGAGTATCTACGTCTTCTTTCTCGCGTTTAGCCCATTGCCTGGCATAATCTTCGACCGAATCCATATGTATTTTGAAGTTGTATTTCCAATTGATGGATTTAGGCTCATGCTATTTCGCACCTTTGGATAACACATTTCACAGGGAAGTCAGTTATTGACAATGTTGAGGTCTCCGGTAACATTCATGCGACTTATCACCTGTATGTGTTCTCATGTGTCTCTGTAAATTACCAAGCCGACTGAACCATTTACCACATAGTTCACAGTCATGAGGTTTGTCAACATGATGTGTTCTCATGTGAATTTGTAAACTAAGCCGACTGAACCTTTTACCACATACATCACAAGCATGAGTTTTATCATCTGTATCATGTGTATGTGTTCTCATGTGTCTCTGTAAATTACTATGCTGATTAAACCGTTGATCACATAAATCACACTCATGAGGTTTATCACCTGTATGTATTATCATGTGTCTCTGTAAACTACCAAGCCGACTGAATCTTTTACAGCATATATCACAGTTATAAGGTTTATCGTCTGTATGTGTTCTCATGTGTCTCTGTAAATTACTATGCTGATTAAACAGTTGATCACATAAATCACACTCATGAGGTTTATCACCTGTATGTACTTTCATGTGTCTCTGTAAACTAGTATGCACACGAAACCCTTTACCACATGCATCACAGTCGTGAGGTTTGTCACCGGTATGTATTCTCATGTGACTTTGTAAATAACCAAGCCGACTGAACCTTTTACCACATACATCACAGTCATGAGGTTTATCGTCTGTATGTATTCTCATGTGTCTGTGTAAACTACTATGTTGATTAAACCGTTGATCACATAAATCACACTCATGAGGTTTATCACCTGTATGTATTGTCATGTGTCTCTGTAAAGTAGCATGCAGACTAAACCATTTACCACATACATCACAGACATAAGGTTTATCACCTGTATGTGTTCGCATGTGTCTCTGTAAATTACTATGCTGACTAAACCGTTTACCACATACATCACAGACATGAGGTTTATCTCCAGTATGTATTATCATGTGTCTAGTTAGGATACTACCTCGGGAAAATTCTCTACCACAAACATCACATTTATGAGGTTTTTCACAAATATGTGTTCTCACATGTGTCTTTAAGTCACTACTTTGACTAAATTCTCTATCAGACACATCACATTTAGAAACTTTATTACCAGCCTCTGTTCTTATGCGTCTCTGACGAGTACCATTTACTGTGACTAAATCCTCTCCTCCCTCTAACATCTTATTGATAATGTTTATCTCCAGTATGCTTTCTTGGACGACTCTGTAAGGAACAAAAAAAAATAAAGACGTAAGCCTTTTGATGCCTTCCTGCAAATTACACATAAAATATCTCTTTTGACATTCTCTGCATTTATACACCTGCATGTTTTGGGTAATTCTAATTCCATACTAGATATAAGAAGATGTGATATGAGTGCCAATGAGACAACTCTCCATCCAAGTCAAAATTTTATAAAAGTAAACCATTATAGATCAAAGTACGGTCTTCAACATGGAGCCTTGGCTCACACCGAACAGTAAGCTATAAAGGGCCCCAAAAATTACTAGTGTAAAACCATTCAAACAGGAAAACCAACGGCCTAATCTATATAAAAAACGAGAAAAGAGAAACACTTATGAACCACATCAACAAAGGACAACTACTGAACATCAGATTCCTGACTTAGGACAGGTGTAAACAAATGCAGCAGGTTTAAACGTTTCAAGGGTACCAAACCTTCACCCTTTTTCTGAAACAATAGTGTAACATCACAACATAGCATACATGTATATACAACATGTACAAGAAGTGTATATACATGGTGTACTGTCTTATTGAGGTTTACCTCACATTCCAATCCCATACTATATACAACATGTACAAGAAGTATATATGCTGTACTGCCTCATTGATGTTTACCTCACATCTTCTTTATTCATAAGGAAAAGAATGTTGCTCAATGTCAACATTATTTACATACACAATAAATAAACTGTTGACACAGAGATATGTCTCGCCTGTCTGCAGAAACAAATTCAGAAAAAGACAATCTGATGGACAGCAATGTTGCTATGAAGTTGCTGGACCATGAAATGAAAAAACTATCCTGGATTTTAATATGCATTTTTTTCAGTGTACAAAATAACTATAATCTATCAGTACCATTATTTTAGCATTGCACAAGGTCATGTTTTCTCAGACTGTTAATGACGTCTTTACATTGGATGTTGGATGTGTGCTGATTTTTTTTTAGTCTATAGGGACATGACATTCTTTATTAGTACATGTAGTTACTGTAAATTCAGAAATTATTGCGAGGTTTTTATTAATGTGAATAATGTAACTCTTAGTACATGTAGTATCCCAATAATAGAGGGTAGGAATGTCCTTTACCGTCAGGCGTCAATCAGTCTTTTTCGGCTACCGTTAGCGTCAAATTGTTTAAAATTTTATCGTGATTCATCAGAGGTCTCAAATAATTAACCATTACCATGATTACCGTTATTTTTGGAAAAATTTAACATGATTTGTCAAAATCAGTCGATAATTTTATCGTCGTAAAGAAAGTGTCCATTCTATCGTCATACACCAAAAATTACAGTTAACATCATTTGGCAGTTTTATTTACCATTATTCATCATGAAGGTACCCCCATTATGACCCTCATATTAAGAACTCGCATTCTGATATCAATGGATATCAAATAGTTAATACATACATCTGAATGTGGCTTTTCCTAAAATTGCAATATTTACTCTCTCATTTTTTGTTAATTCTTCGAAAATTGCAATAATAAATGCATGCAAAAATTTCTGAATTTACAGTATTGGTTTTAGACTAACTTTCAGTCATTTTGTCAGTAACCAATATGTGCTTTGTGTCTTTTGTGTTTTTATTAGTTTTGAGCTGTGTAGTAACCTGGCGAGTTAAGCCATTTTAAACTGATATCATATTTATAATTTATTCAAATGTCACAATTGCTGTTACAGTACTGTCCCAGGTTGGGGGATGTTAGGGGGAGAGTTGGGCGCCTGCAAACATATTTAACCATGCGGCTGCAAGTTTCTGCATGTGCCTGTCCAAAGTCAGGGGCCTGTGATTTTTTAGTTGTCATTATAGTTGTTGTATCATATATGTTTTTCGTTCATTCTTTTGTACTTAAATCAGGCCGTTAGTTTTCCCAATTGAACTGTTAAACATTTGTATTTCAGGGCCTCTTATAGCTTGCTATTGCGGTGTGGGTTTTTCTCTTTGTTACTTTAATTTCTTACATGATGCATCTACTTAATTTGAACTTTTGGAGGATAGTTGTCTCATAATATAATTCTGGCAATCATAACACAACATGTTATTTAGTTATTTACGGTCTCAAAATGGCAAATATCAGTCTACACTAGCTTCTTAATTTTCACGTTATAAACAGTATCAAGTCTACCCATATATTTTCTCTCCAGTTTGTAAAAAATAAGATAAATCATTGTCTGCTCATTAACTTACTATGTCTTACCCGTCTACACATGGAGAATATAAGTCGAGGGAATGAAACCAACGTTATCGGGTTACACTAATGTCCTGACAATGTCCTGACAATGTCCTGACAAAGTCCTGACGGATATGAAAATGCTAATTACGTTTTCATTATTTAAAGGATTTACTTTAAATTTGGAACCAAGCAAGATGACAACATTAATTTATTAAATAAAAGAAAAAAAATTAAAAAAAATATTTTTAAGAGTTAGAAAACTTGACCTGACCAACTTCGACTTTGAAATCACTAATGTCCTGACCGATATGAAACGGCTTAATACTTTTTTATTATTCACAGGATAGACTTCAAATTCGATATCAAGGAAGATTAAAACATTTAATCCAAAAATATAAGAAAAAAATGCAAAAAAAATAATTTTTAGAGTTAGAAAACTTGACCTGACCAACTACGACTTTGCCGCGATTAATGTCCGGACCGATATAAAACTGCTAATTTCCTTTTTTCTTTGGAAGGATTGACTTCAAATTTGACACCAGACAAGAAAGTAATATTGATTTAATACTTATTTGAAAAGAATTGGGAAAAAAATACTTTAAGGGTAAAAAAACTTGACCTGACCAACATCGACTTTGTCGTGACTAATGTCCTGACCGATATAAAAGTGCTAATACTTGTAACATTGTTGGTATGATTGAGTTCTTATTTGAAACCAAGTCAAATTATAACGTTTTCTTTTTAATACTTTTTATAAAGTAATTGGAAAACAATATTTCATACGAAATAAAAACTTGACCTAACCACCTTCAATTTATTAAACTTAATACACAAACAAAAACGTTTTTAGTTCTTACCTTATATTGTCATTGAATTTATATTTATCTTATCCATAAAACACAACATCCAAAGCAAATAAATTTTGTTAAATGAAAAGATAGGGGAAATATGAGTACAAGTTGCTGACTGTGAGTATTGTTTACCCCTCATCACAACTCTACTTCATTTGATTTGATTAATAAGTGTGACTAATGAAACTAATTATTGAATTATTAAACCCAATTAAATAATTATAAAAGTGAAATGTAATTAGTTACCTACATTAATGATTTTAATAACTAAGTAAATGGAAAGGTTTTTTCTTCTTGATGTAACAATTAAATAAAAAAAACTGTATAAAAGTAAACGCAAAGGAAGGTGATATGAACCATTAAAATAAAATCACACCTATATTAATTACTATAATCACAAATTGGAATGTTTTCTTTCCTATCTGATTATTTATTTTTTGTTTATCTAGTTATTGAGTGATTATACATGTCATATAAAGGCAGGAAATGAGATTCGTATTGTTTAAAAACGATGTATATACAAGCATATAAATTACAATTATGTTAGAATCACAAAGAAATAAAATAAATTAATACACACAATTTTCACTAACAGAAAAAAAGAAGACATTCAATTAAATTGAGTTCAATAAAGATAAATGGAAAAGAACAATTTAGTCACGATTACCTACCACAATGAAAAACGTTCATATCTAATATATAGGAGTTAACACAATACAATACAATACAACACAATACAATATACAATACAATACAATACAATACAATACAATACAATACAATACAATACAATACAATACAATACAATACAATACAATACAATACAATACAATACAATACAATACAATACAATACAATACAATACAATACAATACAATACAATACAATACAATACAATACAATACAATACAATACAATACAATACAATACAATACAATACAATACAATGTTCAAGCATCGCGATGTTCATCACAGTACCAATCTTCTGAAACTCCTGAACATGTCTGATGAACCCACTTAGTACAGCTGATCCGTCCTCTTTTCGCTTCACATCCAATCATGTTCTCAAAAACATCTGGTTTACCACACTGACAACTACACTCAATTCTTCTGGCAAAAATCCTAACAAAGTCTGTACTTGATGTTGTATTTTGAGGAAATGGTGTAAAATGTCCTTTTTCCAAACACGATATTAAATGTGGTCGCATGTATTTCTCAATAAACTTCGTACGTCTTTGAGTGTTGAGTTTTTCTTTATGACAATATTCCACCATGTTGGCAATAGCATAAACACCACAGTCATATCCATTTGTTTGTTGTTGAACATCAGGTAATTTTACAAGCAAGTTCTTTTTTCCATGAGAATAAATAGCTGATAACTGAATTTCTGTCGATGGTGTTAATCTGAAATCTTTACTGTAACTATCTAACACATAAACGGCACTATCCTTTTTAGTCTGAAGAGATGTAATCCAATGAGATTTTCCGGTATGGTGAATTTGCACACATGGTGTATCTTGACTGGTGAATGTCCCGAAATTTTCTGTCCAACACTGTTTATCTTCATCAAAAAGAGGCGCTAAACCTGTTGATTGAAATCCAGATATAATTGGAAATTGTTTCGCTAGCATATTCATGCACACATTTATAATTTCGGAACATAGCCATGAATTATTCTCCAACATAAGTTTGTGTTCTGTATTTAAACTTGCAACCCAAGGTGTATGGTTTATACTTTTAGCGTCTGTTGTTAATTTACGCTTTTTCATCGGAAGTCGGCAGGTACTCTTCGGTGACACGGACGGCGATATAAGCTGTATTTCATCCTCATCCTCCGAAAATCGCAATTTCTTTCCTTGTTTAGGTGTATCACAAGTGTTCATATCCTGTTCCTTACATTTGAATTTATTTTTTTTCTTCGATTTAGGTGTTTCCGTTGTGGACGATTGTTTTCCTGGTGTTTCTGGCATATCGATATTTTCCACTATTTCTGAATCCGGCGCTGGTAAAACTTCGGTGTTATCATAATCATTCGCACGTGGTTTCTTTCTTCCCGATTTTTTGTCGTTCCTTTTCAAATTTCTCTTGGATAGTAGTCTTAAATTAACAACTCTCGGTTTATTATCGGTTTCATCACCTAAAAACATTTTTGCAGCTAATATATGGTAACACTGTGTTGTCGATGGACACTGACATGTTTCTTTCGGTAGTAAGGTTACAGCATATATGTTTCCTTGAGTTCCCTTCACCATAAATGCCTTCTGCTGTTGCACAAATGTTACATTGTCGTTTTCTACTGTAAGACGGGCTAACGATTTTTGCGACAGATTCTTATCAATAATTGACACAACTTTCGGAATTTCGGTTGTTATTTCTTCACTGTTTTTAGTACATTGTTCACTATCACAAACCACACTTTGTAGTTCATTACTTTCGATATCTTCAATTAACGGCACACACTTTGAATCTTCACTTAACGGCACAGAATTTGAATCTTGATTTAACGGCACAGTTGTTGATGTATTTTCAGTATATTCCTTAACGCATTCTTCTCGCACAGAATCTATTTCGGACATCACATGTTTCACAATATCATCAGGTTTAATCACACGTTTCGGTATACAAATTTCATCTTTTGGAATGCGGGCGTGTCTGAATTCATGTCTCAAATTGTAATTTCCTACACCGGCTAATCCTCTCTGAATTTCTGTTATGTAGTATACTTGAAGGTAATACATGCTTAAAACGAAGCAATCAACAGGAAGCTCTTTATATTTGTTTAATCGTTTGATAACGGCATTCATGCTTTCACACGCATTGTTGGTAACACCAGAAAACGGATCATAAAGATTTTCGTACTTGTTAATTATCCACTTCCCACAATGAAATAATATATCCTTTTCCATTTTGTTGAAATATGAAACAATCGGTTTTGACCACTTTACCATAAGCAATTGTTTTTTCTCCTTGTATTCTTCAACACTATCACAACGCAGTAATTCTCTTATGTTCGATAGATAAAACGCAATGTTTTCCTGATCGGCACCCATCTTATGTAAATTAAATTTGGCATCGGTTATCAAATGGTTCCAACACATTATAACATCGCTATTCGGAAAATTCTTTTCTATTGCATTCACTAATCCTGGTTCACGATCTGTAATAAATGGCACACACTTTCTGTTTAGCTTCGGAAACACTGATGACACAAATTCGAAAAATTTTGAATGCATTTTTTCTTTCTTCCTTCCATGTATAAGAAATGCTACTGGCATGATTGGGCGGTCTTCAAAAATTATGTTACGGAACACTAGCGGCGACACATAGAAATCTCCAAGTTTAAATGTTGTATCATAGAAAAATTGAAACGGTATATCCTCTTCAGTGTTAACATCCAGCAATTGGTTCACTATCGATATCATCTCCGGTAAGGCTATTATAGCAGTCAAGTCCGGGAACACAGTAATTTCGTGAATATATCCCTCCATGTGGTAAGCCAACAACATAAGATTGTAAATATCATCTTTGCCTATTCTCTTCTGTTCATTCACTTTTCGCACAATGTTTTCCACTTGTTTCACATTTCTTGCATTTAAAACACCTTGTTGCACACCAGGAATATCACTATTTGTAATGTTATCTCTATACACATCCATAGCGGTTTTAAGACCAGAACTAACTTCTTTTTCTATTGTTTGCAACACTGATGGAGCAGTTCGAATAAATTCCGGTGGATTAATCTTGTTTTTCACATTCCCATGAGAAAGAGGGGTATACACAGTTTCGTCACCTTCGTAATGCACTAACACTAAGTTCCTGTTATCTTTAAAGTTATATGCCGTTCTCTTAAATTGTAATGAACCAACTGCTCTATTCCTGCCTCGACCTTCTATTTGTCCTTTAGAACCGGGTAGTCTTATCTTGTAGAACTTTTTCTCTAACACAACACTATTAATTGTCACTGATTTACTCCCATAATGAAGCCACTGGTATTGGTCACACTTCCAATCATCATGGTTATCGGATCTTATCAAATATACCTCGTTTCCCTTAGGCTTTGCTGGTGGCATGTCGGATGTACGTGATGTATCTGGATCAGTTAAAATATCCACAATGGCACTCTGATGAATATGATCTGTAACTGAATAAACTGTGACACCACCACCAATTAAAACGGGAGGAGTGTTAGCAATAGGAGTGGTGGTAACTGGTGAGTTAACAGAAGGAGTGGTAGCAATAGTAGTGGTGGTAACTGGGGAGTTAACTGACGGAGTGTTATCAGTAGGAGTGGTTGTGGTAACTGGTGAGTTAACTGAAGGAGTGTTAGCAATAGGAGTGGTGGTAACTAGTGAGTTAACTGAAGGAGTGTTAGCAATACTATACCGTAACTGCATCAAAAGCTTACCCTGAATGTTGGTACCACTGCCATTCCAACCAATACCCCAGAAAGTGTCTGCTACATTGTGTATCAGTTCAGATAATTTTGTACTAAGTAAATATTTTTTGAATTTTGCACACTGATCTAATTTAACTGCCAAAACTTCAAGCATGATGTCCTGCCTGAATAATAACCAATTCTGGTTAGTTTTTACATGTTTTGAAAGGACTTTGCAGTCCTTGGCTGTCGAAGCTGAACGAATAAGATGCGCCAAATGGAAATCGGAATGCTCGACAGCCTTGCGATACTGATACAAATGTTCAGAACTACTGAAGGTTAACCCCTGGAAAGTAAGAATACATGGATAAAAATTAGACAAAACATGACCGGCACCTTTAAAATAGATGGGAGTGTTAGTAACAGACGACGGTGAGTGATTAGAAGTGGAGGTAGGCAAGCGGTTAGAAGTGGAGGTAGGTAAACGGTTAGAAGTGGAGTTAGGCAAGCGGTTAGAAGTGGAGGTAGGCAAGCGGTTAGAAGTGGAGGTAGGTAAACGGTTGGAAGTGGAGGTAGGCAAGCGGTTAGAAGTGGAGGTAGGCAAGCGGTTAGAAGTGGAGGTAGGCAAGCGGTTAGAAGTGGAAGTAGGCAAGCGGTTAGAAGTGGAGGTAGGCAAGCGGTTAGAAGTGGAGGTAGACAAGCGGTAAGAAGTGGAAGTGGGTGAGCGGCTAGAAGTGGAGGTAGGTGCGACACAAACAGGATTTGGTGAGATGGTACATGCTGGAACAGATGAGGACGTGGTGGTAGGAACATGCACAGTGTTAGAGGTAGATGAAGTGTTAATAAGAGAAGATACCAGATAACATACCCGTGGAAGAGCAGGCCACTCTTCAATCACCTGAATACCTGTTGAAGTTAGTACTGGTTTTGGTGTTGGTGTTGGTGTTCGTATCGGTAAAGTGAGTAGTGCAGTTCGGTACAGTGATTGGTCTACAGCTGGTTCAGTTGGGTCAGGCATTGGTGTAGGTGCTTTTGGTGTTGGCGTTGGTGTTGACGTTGGTGTTGACGTTGGTAGGTCCCAGATGCTGTCATGAGTATCCTTGGTTTTGCGTAGATGACGAATGGCGCTCTCGATGTCTTTCACCACAGTTGATGTACCACGGTAGCTTAGATGAAGACCATCTCGACTGAGTAGGTGTCTCTGGATAGTACCTTTCTGGGCGAATGACGGGTGACCAACGTAGTGGAGTCTTGGAACTCGGGTAGCTAGTAACTGTAGTTTGGTATTGAGTAGCCGAGCTCTCTGGTTGAGTTCCGTTAGGAAGTTGGTGCGCAGAAGTGCCCCTGGGAATTGGTTGTCGGCTCTAGGTAGGACTCCAGATATGATGATGTCTGCTGTTGGGTTGCTGTGCCAAATGTCTGATGTCAGTTGTTGGTATTTCCTGAGTAGAGTCTTTACTGATGAACCATGGGAGAGGTCGTTGGCGCCAACGTGAAGTACCACGGTGTTGTAGTTGTCGATGGTTGGTTGCAGTTCGTTGAACATCTGGTCAATACGAAAACCTGAATAAGAAAGCACATTAGTTTCAGATAAAGATAAATATTGATTAAAATACTTGGCCTGGGAATGGCCAGCAATCAGCACTGGAAATGAAGACATGATTAGAATCAAGTAATATGAAACAAAAGCACAAAAAATATATTTACAATTTTCTACAATTAATTACACTAAACAAAAGGAAGGAGATTTATATACAAAGAAAAATAGCACTAAAGCAATATATCAATTCGAATAAAAAGCACTGAGGTTGTATGTATTAGAGCACTATGAAAACTTTTGAAAGAGACTAAAAATATGTATTATATTTATAACTGTAAGTAACTAATGTTCACTTTTAAAAAGCAATCACCAAAGCTTGTAGAAGCCCATAAATACCAATGTATTGTTTATCATAAATTATCAGTCTTAATAATAGCTGGTCACAGTTCACGTTCATAATTAATTAATTGGATTAACAAGTAGGTGATTAATCTAATCATAACAAGCCCCTAATCAGATTAACAATTAGAGCAATAACAGAAAGTTAACATGCATAAACAATACTCACATTCAGCAACTGGTTCTAATATTTCTCTTTCGTTTCATTTCAACAGTATCTTTCTGCGTTCAATGTTGTAATATCATTGTGATCGGATATTTTCAATTTCAATAATTTAAGGTAAGAGGTTAACATTTTCTTTCAGTTAGAAAATTGATCAGGACAAGTTCGACAATGTCAGGTCAATATATTTTTACCCTTGCAATACTTGTTCACATTTTTTTCTTTTTGTCATTTAAATATTTAATAAAATATTGATATTTATCAAACTTAAAGACATTTATTTAAGAAATATACATAGTCTTTCTATTTTTTAAACGAACATGTCTTTTTTTGGTGAATAGCCTATGTTGGTCAGGTCAAGTTTTTTGGTCTTTTGAATATTTGTTTTCTTTTCATTTCTTTATATTTCTTTGTTAAATGTCGAAATCTTCCTTGCTACTAAATTTGAAGTTAATCCTTCCAAAGATAAAAAAGAAATTAGCAGTTTTATATCGGTCCGGACATTAGTCGCGGCAAAATCGTATTGGTCAGGTCAAGTTTTCTAACTCTAAAAATTATTTTTTTTTCATTTTTTTCTTATATTTTTGGATTAAATGTTTTAATCTTCCTTGATATCGAATTTGAAGTCTATCCTGTGAATAATAAAAAAGTATTGGTCAGGTCAAGTTTTCTAACTCTTAAAAATATTTTTTTTAATTTTTTTTCTTTTATTTAATAAATTAATGTTGTCATCTTGCTTGGTTCCAAATTTAAAGTAAATCCTTTAAATAATGAAAACGTAATTAGCATTTTCATATCCGTCAGGACTTTGTCAGGACATTGTCAGGACATTGTCAGGACATTAGTGTAACCCGATAACGTTGGTTTCATTCCCTCGACTTATATTCTCCATGTGTAGACGGGTAAGACATAGTAAGTTAATGAGCAGACAATGATTTATCTTATTTTTTACAAACTGGAGAGAAAATATATGGGTAGACTTGATACTGTTTATAACGTGAAAATTAAGAAGCTAGTGTAGACTGATATTTGCCATTTTGAGACCGTAAATAACTAAATAACATGTTGTGTTATGATTGCCAGAATTATATTATGAGACAACTATCCTCCAAAAGTTCAAATTAAGTAGATGCATCATGTAAGAAATTAAAGTAACAAAGAGAAAAACCCACACCGCAATAGCAAGCTATAAGAGGCCCTGAAATACAAATGTTTAACAGTTCAATTGGGAAAACTAACGGCCTGATTTAAGTACAAAAGAATGAACGAAAAACATATATGATACAACAACTATAATGACAACTAAAAAATCACAGGCCCCTGACTTTGGACAGGCACATGCAGAAACTTGCAGCCGCATGGTTAAATATGTTTGCAGGCGCCTCTTTATACAGGTATGAATCGCCGTTTTATATAATAGGTGCACTCCTACACGTATAGTATCTCTGTAAATAATGAACATAAAACATCGTGTCTTTGCTATCGTGTAAAGATATCCACCTTTTCGATAAATAAATATCAATTGCTCTTTATATAAAGAATTAAAGTGATTGCACATTTGAGAAAAAATACTTAAACAGGGGAGGATTCAGGCGGGGGCGTGGCGGGCGTGCGCCCCCTAAAATCTGCAAAGCATGGGTTGCCTCTACACTCTAAAAGAGTATTTCGATTTTTTTTTTACTTTGCTCCATATTATAGGACTAAAGACATCAATAACATCAAAAGATAAAAAAAGGAGACAAACATCTCGCAGAAAAAAAAAGCATTCACACCTGTAACAGATGATCCAATACCAGATAAGGGCGTCAGTAAACATCCACAGATGCCTGATATTAAAATAAAAAAACAGGGCATAGAAAAACTTCTAAATAACATCAATATCAACAAAGCAGCTGGGCCTGATCTCATCCATGGAAAAATTTTAAAAGAGTGTAAGACATCTATCACTCCCATCTTGTCAATCATATTCCAAACATCACTGAACTCTGGAAAGATCCCAGATGACTGGCGTCACGCAAGTGTATGTCCAGCATTCAAAAAAGGCGACAAACACGACCCTATAAACTATCGCCCCATATCATTGACTTGCATCTGCTGCAAACTATTAGAACATGTTGTAGCTAGTAATATAATGAAACATCTGGAAAAAAATAAAATTCTATACGACTTACAACATGGTTTTCGATCATCTCGCTCCTGTGAAACTCAGCTAATATCATTTATTCAAGATCTTGCAAATTCAAATAATAAAAACATTCAAACAGACATCATAATAATGGATTTTGCAAAAGCATTTGATAAAGTTTCACACCACCATCTCATGTATAAAATCGGTTTCTACGGTATAAATTGCAATGCATTACATTGGATTCAAGATTTTTTAACAAACAGAACACAAACAGTAGTCCTTGAAGGTGAAACATCAAATAAAATTCCTGTAACATCTGGGGTACCTCAAGGCACAGTGCTTGGTCCAATTTTATTCTTAATATTTATAAATGATTTGGCAGAATATATTGAACATAGTACATTAAGATTGTTCGCAGATGACAGTATCATTTATAGGGAAATTAAAAAACCAGATGACACATATAAATTACAGTCTGACTTGGAAGCGGCCGGCAGATGGGAGCAGGACTGGCTCATGCATTTTCACCCTGATAAGTGCAACATTCTCAGTGTAACTCAAAAACGCAAACCTTTAGACTTCACTTATAAATTACACAATCACTCTCTAGAAAAAGTTGACTCTACAAAATATTTAGGCCTAACTCTTCAATCAAATTTAAAATGGGACAAACATATCAATAACATGACATCAAAAGCAAATCAGTCTCTTGGATTTATTCGTAGAAACCTTAAAATAGCCTCACCTAAAGTTAAAGCACATGCATTTAAAGCTCTTGTCCGACCAAAACTAGAGTACTGCTCAACTATTTGGGATCCACATCAAAAACAGCAAATTTCACAAATTGAAAAAGTTCAGAGAAGAGCAGCGCGCTTCTCATGCAACCGCTTCCATAACACCAGCTCAGTTACTGAAATGATGACAGACTTAAATTGGTACCCACTTGAAATAAGGCGTTTACGATACAGACTTGTCTTCTTCTACAAAATTATACATGAAATTGTTGCAGTCCCTACATTTAACCTTTTGATCCCACTAGACAATAGAACTAGACATAGCAATCCACACTCATTTAGGCAAATACAAACAACTAAAGACAGTTATAAATATTCATTTTATCCACGAACAGTTATAGATTGGAATCTTCTGCCACAACAAATAGTATCATGCAGTACAGTACAGGGATTCAAGAGTATGATCTCAGAATCTGCTCTCATCCCCATTTTCTATCCCTAACTATTTTGTTATCAAATGTATATAGTTTTATCTAAATGAAATTTTACAAATGCACATACATTATTTTGATTTTTTGATTTTGTTTCTTTTTATTTTTCTTGCTACAATGTAAATTATAAAATTTTATAGTCGACGCCCGGCGAATAATCTTCAATAATTGAAGGATCGCTAGAAACTTAAAGAAGAAGAAGAAAACTACAGACCTGTAATCCTTAACATTTGTCGCCAGCAAAATTCTAGAACATATCATATGCAGGCACATCCTGTATAGGTGCACTCCTACATAGTATCTCTGTAAATAATGAACATAAAACATCGTGTCTTTGCTATCGTGTAAAGATATCCGCCTTTTCAATAAGTAAATATTAATTACTCATCCGATAAGTCATTATGTGTTTCCATGGCCACTCACCATAGTGGGCGCAATTGTACTGAACAGAATATAGTAGCGCTGCTCGTTCAATTATGTCGGTTAAAATATCATTATAGCTTATGTCACACGTATGTCCTTATTTGTACTACTATGCCGACTCTAAATACAGCTTATTTATCATTATTATTCACTCGGCCTATACAATCTCGGACTTTAACAATCTCGGCCTTCAATTTTTTATATTTAAGGAATGACTGTAATATTTTTTCTGTTTATGAAGAAATTACATCAAAAATGTGGTGCACACTGAATAACCCGCGTTACAGTCATTTCTTATAATTTAATTCTAAATTCCATTTTAAACCCGAGTAAACAATGAAAAAACGCTGATGACGTCACGGTCACATGACAAAATTATGTCTATAAGCTGACAAAACAACGTCAGCTAATCAGAAGACGCGTTAATTACATCCAAAATTAAATTATATAGAAATAAAGTGAACATTTGAGAAAAAAACCCCAAAATATCCTTACAATGAAATCATTTAGCTTAGACGCACAAGACATCAGTTGTTAAGGGACAATAATATCAAAAGACGGTTAAAAAAAAACAGTATTCACACAGTTAGGGATGGTGGTCAAACTGGCTACAAGTTTTGTTATCCAGGCTACATTGATTTTTCGGGTTAAAGAAATACATATTAAAGTTCGATCCTAATTATATATAAAGGGGGGCTGGATGGGGTTTACAGAATAGAGAATACTGGGCAAAAAGTGCAGAATAAATGGCGTAAAAAAAAACGCGAGCCTCGCGTTTTAAATTTGAAAATTTAACTGTCTCGAGTGGATAAATATCATATCACACTCGATGCAGTGGTAGAATCTATATGTATGTACACTAAAGCCATTATGTGTTTCCATGGCCACTCACCATAGTGGGCGCAATTGCACAGTCCATTCATACAGTCTGCACCGTTAGCCTCTAGTCAGATTCCCCAGACTAGTAAAACTTTATTCGGACTAGTAAGTATTTTCCAAGTTGTGTTTATTCACATGAGAAAAATATCGGAATATTGGTCTTCGGACTAGTAGTTGGAAAAGATTTTGGTGCAGACTGCTCATATTTAACGGTAACCATAAATTGATGATAAAAATGGTCCCTACTTAAATTTTAAGTACATATCTATCAGTCAGAGCTCTGACATAAAAAAGGTTAGAATAATCTGATTTCCGTAGGTCAGAAAAAAACAATGATTTTATTTAAACAAGCGTTAAATAATTTGATTTTTGTAAACAAACATCCAAATTAGAATAAATTCCCCATACTTCGCACATAGAAAATGCAGGTTCCACACTGACTGCAGTCAGGTTTGCCCAAAGCCAGTACAACAGTACACTAGACACTATTCATTGTTAAGGAAGCCGAAGGGTGAATAGAAATCTGATCACTCTTGGTCTTCTTCCGATCTTCAGTAAAACCCTTGACAAAGTAGGGTGTCCATTTGGTTGTGCAGTATGTATAAATTCACTTCACATCACGTCCAGTCAGAAAAGGGCCGTTAAATTTAATGCATCTTATTAAAGCGAGTGCAAGGCTGTCTGCACATTAGGAACCCTTACAACACCGATTTGATGGGTCCGCATGTGGCCATCCAATTTACCCTCATGTTCCATTGGAACTCCAAATTTCGTCGACTGATTCGATCCACAAATAATAATTTTCAGACAGGTAAAAACGATGATTAACATTTTTTTAACCTGAACATGAAATTAAACAGATCTAGAAAAAAATTCAATTGCACGTGCTCGCTATCTATGTTTTTATCGGGTTACATGACCGCCGGCAACCTTCGGGGTCATCTCGATGGTTAATGAGAAGGCATCTAGCCTAAAATACACACGAAATGCTGATTGATATTATCTAGTCCATGCATTGTTAAAGGAGACGTGACACAATTTTTAATTTTTTTTATTTTTTAATTAATTAATTAATATTGGTCAAAAAACATATTTTAATAAATTTTTCTTGTCAAAACCTCATTAAACGGACTTTTTATGGTCAAATAATCCAGCGCTTGTCGTAATCTTTGATTTTTAATTAGATACCGGTCACGTGATCGTGATGACGTCAGTGGATACAAGCTGAGAAAATGTCTCAATATGGACGAAGTCGATCACATTTCTGCATAATTAAACAATGGACGGTGTTGACAGCAGTTTTCAAGACAACTCTCAAACTTAAGATATTCGACCGTATCAGTTTGAGCCGTTACTTGTTGAAAATAATCAAGTAGAAGATATAAATTCGTCATCCGAAGAGTCCGACATTGACGATCTTTCAAGCAATATGCAAGCTGTAGGATCTGCAAAGAATAAATGTTTGTTGTAAATTTAGTTTTACAGAACTTTAATTACTGTGATAATTAATTAAGACATATAAATACAAGTGAACGTCTTGGGTCACACAATGGTCAATTGCATTTCTGAATAATTATGTGGTCTTAAATTACAATTATAATGAAATCAAAAACATAGAGAAATATACCTAACTTCTTAACTCCATTTTATTTGAGCTTTCATGGATAGTTGTCTGATTAGCAATCAAATTTACCACTAATAAATTGGTTCTTAGATATTAATTTAATAATTTAAATTAGTTAGTTTGCTAAATGTAGCGTTCAAGTTCAAAAGTTTATTATAGTTTATTATAGTCGCACCACATACATACATGTACACGTATAAACACAATATGAAATATAATGCACATTTTAAAATTTAGAATGCATATATAGAGATATGTGTACAAATATATCAGTACTATAACAATTATTTCACTATAAATCAAGATATATTTCTTAAAAATGTTTGAGTTTAACAGGTAATTGAATTACATTAAATAAGACAAAAAGAGAGGTAATAAATTACCTATCACCTAACCAAGTATGTTGGGTGTGAAATTTGAATTACTGAAGCTGCCCCCAATACATGTGTAATAAGTATGACATAACAGGGGAAGTATTAAAAGTAATATTAAAAGAAGTTTTGAAACAGTAAAATATATTCATGTATTTGTCTCCTCCATAATCATCCCATTGAAAATGTTCTAGGAGTACTGATTTTTTTGTTGTGATATTTGTTATAATGTGTATATCTTCAGTCTATACTTACACATTATCTAATACTCCCAGGTCTGTATCAATTGGATTTATTTCCATTATTTTATTTAAGTTAAAACTATATTATTCAGCTTCATGTCTTATGCAATATAAAGGCTTGCATACATACACTAGCCAAAATATTTGTTTTTCATTCAAGTTATGGCATGGTATTGGTTGCAAAAATTTGATATTTTTCATTTAAATGCAATATTTCTTATTTAATTGGTATATTTCTTCATTTAAATGCAATATTTTTTTATTTGAATGGTATATTTTTTCATTTAAATGCAATATTTTTTATTCAGATGGTATAATTTTTCATTCAAATGGTATAATTTTTCATTCAAATGGTATAATTTTCGTTCAAATGCAATATTTTTTATTCAATTGGTATAAAATGTCATTTGAATGCAATATTTTTTATTTAATTGGTATAGTAGTTTTTTATTTATATGCAATAATTGCATTATGGGAAATTCTTTGACGTCATAAGGTCAAATTTGCAACAACGTTTGTGATTAGTCGGAAATTGTTTGGATTTCTCCCCTTTTTTTCTAAACTTGAGTGACCAAGAATTAAAAAAAAAAAACAAAAAATGCGAGTGACAAGTAATAATAATTAATTTGACACACAACTTGTTCATGGATAGAAACAGATGCCTGCGTGCATGGCAAAAACACCTCCAATGAAAACAATCTCCTACAGTCTACACATTGAAATAAAAAAAAAATACATAGCTAGCCCCCCTCCCCCTTCTAAGTCCAGATACATGTAATCATGACGTTCTTTAGTGCTACTGTTATACTCCGGAACTAATTCTTTAATAAAGACAATTCAGGATAAATTGGAACCAGTTACTAACCCATGTTACAACAATAGTCCTATGACATAGGACTTTACTATATGAGGCGTGAACTTCATATTTAATCTATCTATAATATGTGCTCTTATGTCTTATGCTGAAAATCATTTTACATTTAGGATTCGTTGCTGAGCTTTTTTTTTACTGTCTTCGTCTCCGAATCCCTTTAAATAGATTTTTTTTCAAGCCCCACAGTAGTTCAATAATTACTATATATATATATGTCTTTGCATAAATAAGTATGCAGGGCATATTTCAAAACATATTTTATCTCCAGGACTTTTAAATGATTTACTTTTCAATACTGCATTGGGAAGAGGGGAGTATACAAGTTTATTTTGTGACACATTATATAATATAATTAGGTATCCAACAAATTATATGATTGTACGTTTAGCTATTATCTAGACCCGTACAAAATGTATATAATTAGACACATTTAACAGGGGCGGATCCAAAACCTCGGTGTCTAGAGGGGAGGGGAGTAGGTTCAAATTTAGATATTTGTATAGAGATGTATATATGCGAGTATTGGCAGTAATGGTTATGGTGTGTGTGTGAGGGTAGGGGTTTCAGATCAAAGATCGTTTCTATAATTCTATATCTTTTAGTTTTTACCATTTCACTCTATTCTTTATCCTTTGATCTCTATTATATTTGTCCTAAACATGCGTGACATATTTGCCACTGGACATAAGGCAACAAAAAGTCAATCAACGTATTCTGTATATTTCATCATTTCTTTATCATGTTATCTATAGGTTTGGTCCCGCCCCTTATCTATTTTGTTGCACATTAGGGACGACATCTGACATCAAAAGACCCCCTACCCCCCCCCCCCCCCCCCCCCTCTTAACTTAATTTGGGGAAAATTGATTGACCAATAAGGATATATATAAAATCGATGTTAATGAAACAAAACATGCAGCAATTTTGACCCCCCCAAAAAAAAACTATTTGAATTAAGTTTTTTATCATTCATTGATTTTCTGATGTCGTCCCTTATCCTCTCTATGTAAACCCAATTCATGTCCTGATAAATGGTGACTCATGCATAGCATCATATGTGGTTATTAAAACAAGAAACATATTCATATTATAATAATTAATGTATGCTAGGACTTATAGATAGATGTCATTAGTCCCAGGTCATGTAATAAAGTAGGTCTTATAAAAATACAATAGCATTTTAATTTTGATGATTATATATATGTTTATATATTTAATAATGCCATTTTTTTGGAAAAAAGGGTAGGGGCAAGGCGTTTTATAAAACATATCAATGGGGCGCGTTTTTTTTTTTTTTTTTTGTTCTTCGGAAGTAAGCCAGAAGAAGTCCATTTCTGTTGTTTTTTTTGCAGTGGAAAGATCTTCTGGCTCTCTTCCACCTCTTCTTTTTTGATAGGTTGACGGCATAGGCACATAACAAACATGGCGTCGTTTAGTCTAAATGAAATTAATAAATTTATGAATGCAGATATATTAGAATGTGAGCTGTTTTATAAACGTTTTTATGGTATGACAGCCTTAGTAGGACATCCCTGAAGGACGATAAGCTGGATAAATATATGAACTACACGGACAATAACAGTTAAGGGACGATTATTTAATATTCTAGGGAAGGGATTTTGATTGATTGGTGTTTAAAGCTACTTTCAACACTATTGGGCTATTCCGTGGTGGTCAGTTTAAATTTATAGATGAAGGATGGGGAAGGGAAGAGAGGGCATTATTATTCATTTCAATCAGTCGCTAATCATGCCTATTTTTCAGCTCTTACCAGGCAACCATATTCATATATGAAATCCTTCTGTCCCCCACCCCAACAAATAAATAAATATCAAATGGTTTTCCTCTTATTTAACACAAGTTTAAATTGATTGATTGTTTGTTGCTAATTTTAACGCCTTGTGAAAATTATTTCATGCTTGTTCAGGAAAACACGAGTTTAAAAGTCACATATATAATATAAAAATGAAGAGATGGAATATGATTGCTAATAAGGCAACTATCCACCGGAGTTCAAATATGGTGTGGATGTAAGCAATTATAGATAAGATAAGATAAGATAAGATAAGAAACATTTATTGTAAGTCGGGTTACATGAAATACTACAAACATAAGCTCTGTAGAGCTTTTTGCCGTCATGTAGACAAATGCTTTTTGTAGACAATCGTAAGGCCTTCGACAATGACAAAAACCTGATACTGTAAAGTCGTCTATAAAAGGCCCGATATGAAAAGTGTGAACAATTCAAACGAAAAAACTAACAGCCTAATTATACATAACAAAACAATTTACAAAATATCAAATATGAGTCGAGACAGGAACCAACGACAACCACTAAACTACAGGCTCCATCCCTGGGACAGGCAAATAAAGAATATGGCAGGGTGGATATAAAAACGAAGATGTGGTATGATTGCAAATGAGACAACTCTCCACAAGAGATCAAATGACACAGAAATCAACAGCTATAAGTCACCGTACGGCCTTCGACAATAAGCAAAGCCTACACCGCATAGTCAGCTATAAAAGGCCCCGAAATCAAAAATGTAAAACAATTCAATCGAGAAAACTAACGGCCGAATTAATGTACAAAAAAATGAACGAAACACAAATATGTATAACAAAGCAACAAACGGCAACCACTGAATTACAGGCTCCTGACTTGGGACAAGCACATACATACAGAATGTGGCGGGGTTAAACATGTTAGCGGGATCCCAATCCTCCCCCTTATCTGGGACAGCGGTGTAACAGTACAACAACATGTTTGTGAGCAACCCATCCCGAAGCTGGGACAGTGGTGTAACGTACAGTACAATAAAATAACAACTTGCACAAATCAGCAAATTAACTCGAAAGATCGGTACGAGACATACAAACAAAACTATAACATTAAGACAATAGACACAAAGCACCGACATAAGAGTATTTGCAATTACTGGAAGTTTGCTCAAACCTGATTATAACTGGTACTGAAATAAATCTTGTTCTCCCAGACTGAGTTATCAATCAGTACACAACGCGCGCGGCAAAGGATTTATTAAAAAAAGAAAACAGTCTGAAAAACGCCTGGTTTACGTTGTATATAGATATAAGAAGATGTGGTATGAGTGCCGATGAGACAACTCTCCATCAAAGTCATAATTTGTAAATGTAAACCATTTAAGGGCAACGTACGGTCTTCAACACGGAGCCTTGGCTCAAACCGAACAGCAAGCTATAAAGGGCCCTAAAAAAATTAGTAGTGTAAAACCATTCAAACGGGAAAACCAACGGTGTCTAATCTATTTTTAAAAACCGATATACTTGCATATAAATCCATATACAATGAAAC